CTCAAAGGTTGCTGGGGGTGGGGGTGGTCTCCAGAAGGTTTGCTGTCACTCTCACCATGGGCGACATGTCCCTCTTGCTTCCCCAAGCTCCCCCCTACCGTCGGTACTCAGGATTCAGGACTCAGAAGGCCCAACTCCCTCTGGGGTGGGCCCCAGGGATCCCCAGTGCTGAGCACCCTGAGGTGCCCAGTAAACACTTGCAGAGAATAAGCAGAAACAGGCCCAGAGCTCAAGGAAGCACTTGGACTCCAATCCAGAGCGCAACAAGCTGGGACAGGAACCATGGTCACTGAAGGCCACCTGAGGGCCCAGGAGAAGTCTCAGGAGGCAAGGGGGAAGCATGCCCCACTCAGACGGGATTCTCATCCTTTCCCAAGTTTAATTAAATCCTCATTATGAGCTGGCTCTGCAATTGGTGACCAGGATGATTAGAAGTTTCAAGACAACTGGGGATTTAGCTCAGAGGTGCCGCTGCCTGCCTTGAAAGCACAAGGCCCTGAGTTTAATCCCCGGTACAAAAAGATTTTAAAAAAAAGAAGTTTCAGGACATAGCCCAGGCTTTGGGGTCCCTGCATACTGACATGGGCTGTGCCTCCCACATCTGGATTACACATCTGGCAAGTCACTCATCTGAGGGGCAGGAGTTGTGGGGCACCACCTCTGGCAATGACAGCCTGGATCTGGGGCTCCATGGGAGATTATTAAAGCCATCCTGACCTCGGAGGGAGAAAGTAACCAAAGACTGACTGACAGCGTGACACAATTGCCTGTTGGTTTGATTTTTTACCATCAAATTGGGAGCAACTGGTCCTCTGCTCTTCTGTCTGAGCTTTTCCTCACAGACCGAGCAGCAGCTGAGCTGAAATGTACTTTTGGGGGCATCTTGCACTGAGCAAGAGATCTGAAGATGAGGCCTGGGCTGTAGTCCTGGCTCTGCCAGGGGTGTCCATTTCTTCCCTGTGCTTGTTTCCCACAAGCAAGGGAAGCTTTCTACTGCTCCTTCTGTTCACGAGTGGCCTTCCCTTCCCTCACTCCCTGCTACTCACTGAACAGTGCCCCCCACGCCCTGAATTCCTACACTGATGCCCTAACCCCATGTATGGCACTTGGTGGCGATCAGGCTGAGATGTGGTCATGAGGCTGAGCCCTGATCCAACACGATTAGTGCCCTTATGAGGGACCCTGGGGCTCACTCCCTGTCCTGTGCTCTCTTGCCCTCTCTCTCGTTCTTCCCTGCTATGTGAGAACACAGCCAGAGGTGCTAGCTGTCTGCAAGCCAGGAGCAAAGGCCTCACTGGAACCTGACATCCTGATCTTGTACCTGATCTCAGATTTCCAGCCTCCAGGACTGAGAAACAGATTTCTGAGGTTAAAGAACAACACCCCATCTACGGTATTTTGTCATGGCAGCCCAAGCAGACCAAAACACTGTGCTAAGCTTGCACAGGGCGGCCAAGGCAGGCCCTCAGGCCTGAACAGGCCTTTGCAGATCTATTGGCCTTTGGTAGCTGAACTGGGAGTGTGGCCAACCAGGTCCCAGGAGCACTGAGGTTTGTGGTCCAGGCCTGACAGTGTCCTCCAGGACCCTGGAGGAAAGGAGGGTCTCCCCTAGGACAGGCTTCAGGCTCCTGGTTCTGTCCCCTTCCAGGTGGTGTGTCCCTGGGGCTCCTCCAAGGACAGCAGGCCTGGCCCTGGGACATGGGTCTATAGGCAGCAAGGTGGGGAGCTCCCTTAGGCTGCTCTTCATGTGGTGGAGTCGAGAGTAGGGAGGGAAGACCCTAACGAGACCCTAACAAGGGCGGCTGACAATTACTCTACAGGTTCACAAAGCTCTGATGGATGCCTCTCCCTCTGCCACACAGGGACCCTGAGAAACAGGCAGCAATGACTGTTCCCAGTTTACAGATGAGCAACTGACCCAAAGAGGGCCAAGTTCCTCACCCACAGCAGAAGCCACAGGTTTAAATCTGGTCTTTGGCCTCCCAGTTCCACGCTCTTTATATTTTGCAAGGCCATGTCCCATATCTGCAGAGAGCCACAAGGTGAGGCCAGGTTGGACAGCAGGCAGAGGGGCCCCAGATGAGTGGGGTGGCAGGAGGATACTGGCACCCAGCGGGTGGGGAGGGAGAAGTTCCGCACAGGGGCGACACTGGAGACGGGCTGGGCTTCTGCAGGCAGCTGGGGTAAGGAGGCTGTCCTAAGTGGACACAGGATAAGCTGAAGGCCCAGGCCCTGCTCAGAGAATAAAGGACTCCTCACTATGGCTGGAGCACAGGAGCTTCAGGGGAGACCCAGGACTGGAATGAAGAGGAGGAGGAGGGAGTTCTCCCACATGGCCAAAGTGAGGGATTCGAGTGGAAATGAATTCTGGGGAATGGTTGGGAGCCACAGAAGGTGAGAGAGCAGGGAGTGGGCCCTGGGCCAGGGCCACAGGATCAAGAGAAGCTGGTCTCCATTCATCTCCTCATCTCATCTCCCTCTATTAAGCACCTCCCATGGGCTGGGCTCTAGGAACTTGGAACATCTAGGAATCTGTCATCTCTAGATGACACTCAACCTCTGACTTCTGACCTCCAGGAGCCCACAGGGCAGTGGACTGGGATCCCTTGTGCAAGGTCCATCTCACCTCAAGGAAACTTCTAGTGGTAAGAGAGTCTGCCCATTGCTCTTTCCAGCCCAACTGGCTGTGTAACCAGAGCTTGGGGTCCAGGAGGTAAGGAGGGAGGCCAGGCTTCACACTAGAGCCCAGAGAGCCCCAGGTGCCTCAGGGACATCAAGATCACAGTGTCAGCTTCGTCCCAGGGCCTCGGGAACTGGGGTCTCAGCTCTGTTCTTCAGAGAACTTTCCAGAAGGTGAGTGAAGATCTCTTCAGACCACTGCAGTCACAGATCTAGTGGAGGCTGCCTTTATAAAGGCCAAGGAGATTCTTGCGACAGTCAAGTCAAGCGGCTCCCCGTCATCTGGTGTAGGGCTGGGAAACTTACATGCCAACTCCAGTTAGCTGTGGCCACACTGAAAACAAAGCCCACTATTACAGAACCTGGCCACCAGACTGAATCATCCCAGAGCAGACAGAACGTCTTCAATTAACCCTGGTGCAGAAATGTGGCTCTCGTGTCCTGTTCCCGAGGGTAATTCTAACCTGACTGATTGTCTCCCAAGTTCTTGTATCAACCCAATCATAGAGAAATATCAAAATTTACTTTTAACTGCATTTTGGGACATTTACTCACATGGATGACGTCACGGTGCCATTAGGGACAAACACTTTAAACGAGAAAATGGGGAGCGTTTCAAAGTGGCAAAGGCCTCACTCACATGGCAGGGCAGGAAAGCGAAGGAAGGGGCCATGCATGTTTGGAACGCTCTGTGAGAATGGTTAGAAGTCCTGCAACCATCTTATGTTTCTGATTTTCACAGAAAAGGGGGGCACAAAGGAAGGGCGTGACCCGACCCGTCAAACATGATGGAGAATGAAGCGCTCAACTCCTCTCGCATCTGCTTTGGCAGGCAGGCAAGCAGAGAGCTCTCGGGCACACCCACCCTTTCTCACCCTCGGTGTCCAGGCTCCCCGAGCTGGCTGGGGCAGCAGTGTGGGAAGCAGCTGGGTGGGGAGCCAGCAGCAAGCCCTGACATGGGTAAGCCCTTCGCCGAGACCCGAGAGTCCAGCCCAGCCCAGCCCAGGAAGCGTTTCCTCCCAGGCAGCACTGTTGCAGGGACACAACCCTCGGGGCTGTCACTCGTTTGCCCGTGTGCAAAGACGGCACTCCGGGTGGACAGAGGAGGCTGTGGCCACAACTTTGTTAGTGGTCGAGGACCTGGGCCCTGTAACAGGAAAGACCAGCAGGACAGGGAAGGTGACGTGCAGTCCTTTCTCTCCATTCCCGATCCCTTCTCTCAGACTATTTCTCCATTTTTTTTTTTTTTTGAGATATGGTCTCACTATTTAGTTCAAACTGGCCCTGAATTCACTACATAGCCCAGGCTGGCCTCAACCTTGCAGCAGTCCTCCTGCCTCAGCCTCCTGAGTGCTGGGATTACAGATGTGCATCACTCTGCCCAGTTCAATTTTTTTTTTTTAATCTTTGTCTACTTGGAAACAGGCACGCAGGACAGCAAACTAGGCAGCATTCTTGAGTGAAAGAGAAAAAGAGGCATGGGACCTTCCATTTGTTTGCTTTTAATGGAGACAGGAGTTAGGATGAGCTATAAGGAAACACTGCAAGCTGGGTGTGCTGAGAGGGAGCAGGGTCAGGGAGCAGGCTCCGGATTTCCCAGGACTGGAGTCACGCGGTGAGAACCCTCACTTAATAGCAGGTGACCTCAGTCTCTTGATCAGGAGTTTCCTCATCTGTGATAGCACTGGTGCCCAGCACAGTGCCTGGCACACAGCCAGCAAGTGGGCATATTACTATTCATGAGCAGGCTGCTGGCTGTCTGACGGTAGAGCAGAGCGAGACTCTTAGTCCATTTCCTATCTCAATATAACTGAATACCAGCTGCGTGTGGAGGTGCACATCTGTAATCCCAGCACTTGGAGGCTGAGGCAGGAGGCCAGCCTGGGCTACATAGTGAGTTCAAGGCCAGTTTGAACTACATAGTGAGACCCTGTCTCAAAAAACCCAAAAACCCCCAAACCAAACCAAACCAAACTGAATTGGGCAGACTGGCTGATTTAGAAAGAACAGAGGTTCAGGAAGCCCCCAGTTCCGGAGGCTGGTAGGCCCGAGAGCAGCACCAGGCAGGGGCCTTGTTTGTCTTTGTCTTGTCCTGGAAAAGCACACGCCAGGAGAGTGTGTGCGAGGGGAAGGGACGCCGGGAACAGGCACCCCTTTTGAATGACCTGTTCTCCCCATCACCTAACCTCCCTTGAGAATTAACCCACTCTCCTGAGAAAGGCACTCCTTCCCTGTACGGCCTCATGCCTCTGAAGGGCTTCTCTCTCAAAACTGCCATGATGGCAAGGCAAATTTGAATGTGAATTCCAGTGGGGACAAACCACACTGGAAGCAGAGCAGCATGCGAAGATCCAGGCCTGTGTCCAGTTCCACAGCTGCAGTGAGGCCCTCTGTGGAAACAGCCAAGGCCATTTCCAGAAGGGGGTTTGAGGGCAGAAGGGAAGCAGCCATCTGGGCTCGAATGGCTAAGAGACAGTCACACAAGTCCCCACCAGCCAGGCCCAGCCCAGACAGAGGACACCAGGCACGGGCACGTGTGGCAGCACAGCCAAACCCACAGCCATGGAACGCCCACGCCAGGTCCTGCTTGTCCCGGGACCTCAAACACGACGGGACTCACTTGCACAGGTCTTCCCGTCACTGCGGAGCACGTGGCCCTCGGGACACTGACAGGCGAAGGACCTGTCTGTGTTGACGCAGGCGTATTCACAGCCATGGTCGCTCAGCAGGCAGTAATCCGCCCCTGCAAAGCCAAGACCCACGTGAGGTCCCTGGGGCCCCGTCAGTGAGGTGGCAGGCCTGGCAGGATGGGGGTCATGTTGCTGTCATGCTCACCACCCCTGAGGCACGCAGTCCCTGGCCGAGTGCCTACATCTCCCTGGAGCAGGGGAAAAGGGCACCACACCCAAGCTGCCACTCTGTAGGGACACCATGTTCTACTCCTGCCGCAAACCCTTCCCTACCAGAGAGGGGTGGAGGGGACTCACTAGAGCAGGTTTTGAGGTCCTCGTTGATGAGGAAGCCTTCTGAGCACTGGCAGACGAAGGACTCCTCCGTGTTCAGGCACAGCTGCTCACAGCCATGGTCCTTCTGCGCGCAGTGGTCCACCCCTGCGTGGGTCACACACGTAAACCTAAGAGGTGAGGGGGCCATGCCCTCCCAGCCAAGGGCACTGGAACGGGAAGCCTGCCGAGAAGGGAAGGCGCCATTCTACGCCATGCTTCTCTGGGGAACCAGCTTTGCCTGTGGCTCTTCCCATCTCTCTGAACCCCAGGCCAGGGCCTTGCCATGAGAATCTGGTGTCTTGGCATTGAGAGATTCTGAGAGCAGGTGTGATTTACACATTGCAGAGCATGGTGCTTAAGAACAGGGGTTCCTGGTCTAAATCCCATCTCCGGCACATCCCACTATGGACGCAGACAGTTGCCTGGCCTCTCTGGAGCCTTCCAATTGTCTCCTGACCTGAGCATGGGAATGATGATGGCTGTTTTCTGATAGGAGTGTGGTGAGAATTAGAGGCAATAACACATGGAAGGCAAGCCTTCAGAACAGTAGCTGGCATGCAGCAGCCACTTCATGGATGCTTGTGATTATTAGCAAGTAGTACTGAGTGAGGATCCATTGTATATTTTCATTTCTATTTGAAAATTTAAGAATGTGATTTCTCTTTAATCCTCATAATCAGGACACCCAGATTCAGAAAACAAACCGAAGGCCAGGCCTGCCTGTGTGGCCCGTCCTGGCACCCGAACTCCACACAGCTGGGCCCTGGGCAGTGAGGGCTGAAGGCCAGCAAACACACAGCTGTGGCCGACGGCTTCCACAGACAGCCTGCAGGCGGCCTCAGACTTTCTGGATGGAGAAAGTACACCCCAGAGACTGGAAAGACACGGAAGGCCTTGTGGAAGGCCACCAAGTGAGCTCTTCACTCCTGTGGGGCCTGGGTCCTCAATGCCGAGACACCGGTCCTTCTAGAACCTTCTCTCGTGGAGGAACCTAAACAACCACTTGCAGACTCTCAGGAGCTGCATGCTCCTGTTCACATCCTGGTACCACCATTTACCAGGAAAGTGACAATTTTCTGGTTTCCTTCCCTTTAAAAGGGATAGGATTGCAGGTGGCTCACAGGGCTGCTGAGAGGATCAGGAGAGCTGGTGTGTGAAAGTGCTCACCATAGCTCCTGCAGAGTGAGTGCCTCTTAAGGCTTTGCTGTCATTATGGCCTGGGGACCCCAGAGCCCTCTGGGAGAGCAGAAGACCTCAGCTTTCTCTGGGGATTTCTAGTCTGAAGAGGCTTGGGTTATGCTTTTTTTGTTGGTGGTACTGGGGATTGAACTCAAGACCTTGTGGCTGCAAGGCAGGCACGGTGCCACTGAGCTAAATCCCCGAGCCTGGGTTACACTTTCTTACAGCTGACCAGATAGATCCCAGAGAGAATGGAGGGTCTCCATGTCTTCCAGCCCAACCTCTGAGCCCGTCCAGGCCCCCAAGGCATGCTGGGAGAGAGGTTGGCAGGCTCTGGCCCCAGTGGCCTAGATGGCCCAGTCAAATCATGCCCAGCCTGTCCCAGGAAACTTTGCAGGGCCAGCAGCTGGTGGACACCACACTCCTGGAAAAAAGCAGGATTGGCAGGGATCTGTCAGGACCAGGAGCTCTCCCTTCGTGCTGAACGTAAGAGCCCCTGCTCTCCACTGGCTAATCCACAGCAGAGCCTGGCTGTTGCACCAGCTTCCTCACTCAGAAGCCCTGGCCTCTGAGATCTGCCTTCAGAAAGCCTGGTCGAGGCATTGTGTTCCTTGTGCAGGCTGAAGGGGAGCGAGTTTTCCCGAGGACAGTGTTGGACCTCATGCTCCAGCTGTGAAACTGCCCCCCTTCCCCCAGCAATTTAGGGTCCAAATGCTCAACAGCTGCACTGTTCTCCTTCTCGATCCATCCCTGTCTCCAGCGCTGAAGCAGATGTGCGCTTGCTGGTGGAAAGCCACACAAAGGGCCTCTTCTCTGCAGGCCATGTCACCAAGCCCCAGCGCCCAAAGTAACAGGGTCACAGGGATGCGGCACAGCGTCTATGTGCTCCCACCCTGCTGGCCTGGGCCATGGAGCCTGTGCCTCACAAAACACGATGGGACTGGCCAGCTGGCAGGGCCTGCGAGTTCCCATGTGTTTACATCACCGATGGGCTTTGTGGTGGCTCTGACACAAGGACATGAAAAAAGGGCTTCACAAAACCCTGTGTTTCTTAGCTCTGCCCTCAGATCAGCCCAGGGGCTGCTGCTTCTGAGGTCTAACCCTTCTGGCCTCTTGTCCCAACCTGGGGCCGGACACTGGTCACTCCCATGGGCCCCACAGTGTGAGCTGTTAACCTTGGTGTGATGTTTACCTTGCACCAGGCCTGCAGCTAAGGGATTGGAATGGTCCCAATTATTCCCCATAACCACGCTGGAAGATCAAGACTAGTATTAGCTTCACTTTTTTAAATAGATAGGAAATCAAAGCTCAAAGAAGTTAAATAACTTGCTCAAGGTCACTGGAGCAGAATGTGGCTTAGTCCATGCTTCTAACAGCAAAGATTAATAAGACTAATATTTATTGAAGGCCATGCCTAACAATACTGTCTAAGTATCTTGAATGGATGGATTCTTTTAATCCTCACAACCCACCTATGAAGCAGGTAGTCCTAACAGTCCCATTTTATAGGCGGTAAAACAGGCAGACCCACAGGAAATCTGGGAGCCCCAGAAGGGCCCAGAGGTGAACCTGTGTGCATCTGCACCCACACCCCTGGGGTGCACTCACGGCTGCAGGTCCTGCCGTTGGGGTCCAGGATGTAGCCCCGGCGGCAGCGGCAGTAGTGGCCCTCTTCCGTGTTGACACATTCGTGTTCACAGCCCGGTTTGTTCAGCGCACAGTAGTTGATTCCTGCAGGGAGAAAGGACAGAGCCTCCTTCAGACTTGGGCTTCTCCAGGGCTGAGAGGCAGCCTCGGGATCCCAGGGTGCCCTGCAGACAGCTGCTGCTCCCTCCCCAGGCAAGCCGGGAACTGATCATTCATTCATTTGCCAACCGAGGGCCAGGCCTAGAGGCAGCTGTGGGGGATGGGATAGGGTCTGGGCCCCAGAAGGAGGCAGCCAAGGGATTGGGGGGCCTCAGGCAACACAGAGGAGGGCGCCACTGAGCCCACGGATCGGGTGTCTTCCCCAAAGAGGTGATGGGCAACTGGAGGCTTAGGGAAGAGAAGAATTAGACAGCAAAGGGGACTGTGGGAGCAGAGAGTAAGGACTTGGGGACTGCACAAGCCCGGGGATCAAGGTGGGGTGGGGCACACTTGGGAGCTAGAGGAGCAGACTAAGGCTGGAGAGTGAGGGACAGACAAGGCTGGGGAGGAAATGGTTGTGCCTTGCAAGCCACAGAATGGAGCTGAGAGGGCTGAGAGCAGGTGGTCAGGCCAGGGAGTGGTGGTGGCAATGGAAAGGCCTGGAAGAGGATTCTGCAGTGGAGAAGGAAGATGGTGAGCTCAGCAAACACTCAGCAAGCGAGGTGCTCTGCAGGACACGGAAACAGCCCCTGCTTCAGGGGGCCCGTGCAGAGCAGAACCTGGACCCGATGTGGGCCTCTGGGTTCTCCACCATTGCTTTCCTCCCCCTTTGCTGGCCAAAGGCCAAGTCAAGGGCCCTCAGCTGAGTTGAGCTAAACTGAGTTGATGGGTAAGAGCTGAGAGGTGGAGCGAGGGCCACACTTCTCAGCCCATCCCCTTTCGAAAGAGATGGCGAAGCTAAGGAAATCTAGTCTCTTCCTTGAGTAGATCTGATCACTAGAGCTCAGTGTAAGTGGGCAGCTTCTGTCCACAGTGATGTCTGACAGTGACGTTCAACAGCATGGGGCAGAATAATCCAAAGTTGACCTTGAAAACTATCTGGCTATTTAGCAGAGTCTGGAAATGACAGCTACAGGAAGGGTCCAAGGGCATAGCTTCGCTCAGATCATGATAGCAGCAGATTCATGAACCAGAGGTGACAGTCCCTGCTGATGCCGCAGGTCGCTGCAGTGTTAAGCTCACCCCCCCACCCCCCCACCCCGCCCCCTGCCCAAAGCATGCTTCTGCTGGGAGACAGAAGCTGACTCCTACCCAGCAGGCGACTAACAACTTATTTCCTGCTAAAACCACAGTAGGTCACAGGGGAGGTGAAGACTGGAAGGGAAAACAAAAGGAGCTCACAGAAGGCCTTTGTGAGACTGGCATTGAGGGGAAAGGTCACCAAGACCTCATCGTTGGGCCCAGACCAGTGTAACTGCACCGCATTGTTCTTTTTCTGGGGACATGGCAGAGACTGTTGGTTGTCTTGCCAATAACCATTACCCTGTGGCCCCCAGGGCACAAATCATGGCTGGGTTAAGCCAGTCAGACCCGGCAACCATGGCAACAATGTTCTTCTTCCTCAGGGCCTGGTCTGGGGGAGGAATATGCCCAGGTTCTGGCCAGAAAGCCACACAGAGGAGTTGACCCAGGGTTCCTGGAATGGCAGATGCAGCACGTGAAGACAAGGCTGTGGTATGCAAGGGCTGGCCTAAAAGAAATATCACCTTGCTGTGTCCGGGACCCTCGGCGCCCTCTCTCAGCATGAGGGGAGGTGGCATATTGTTAGGGCCCTTAACAACCTCACCTGTGCTGGGACATCACTGAATGCCAAGAGATCAGCAAAGAGCCTCTCAGAGAGGCAGAGCTAGCAACCAAACAGGCCATAGACAGGCAGGAGACGCAGGGCAGGAGGGCGAGAGGTCCCTGCAGGACAGGGATTGTAGGGATCATTTCATGATCCACCCCATGGCTGTCCAACCTTTGGCCTGCCAGGGGCCACAGAGAGAAACGAAGAATACAGAATGGAGTTAATGTATATAAGTAAGAAAACTTCCTGTTTTTAAGTATTTGAGCTTATTAAATTATTTTATGGAAAACAAGCCCAAGGTTAATAACTAAGTAAGAGAAGTTACATGTCTACTTAGTAACAATAAATGCCCATCTTCAAGGCACAAACTCGGAAGAAGGCCGAAATACCGTTACCATTAGTCCCTGAATTTCACTCTCCAAGTCACACAAGCTCCTCTAACATCTGATACAATGGGGGTTCCTGTGACAGGCAGTGTGTGGCAGGCTCGGGAGGCAGAGTTAGCACTTTGTCCTCTGCCACACAACATTCATCGTCACTACAGTGACTGCTAATTATATCTATGCAGTCCATGCCTATGCACTGCGTATTCAAGACTGAAAAATGTTTGTGAGCTTGTGAGCCCGAGTTACCAGCTTTCCGGGGCTGGACGAGGTCCTCAGGCCTGCATTACCCCACCAGAGAAAGGGAAAAGTTCAGTAAACTCTGTCTTCAAAAGCCAGGCTTTAGCCACTGAGGAAGACAGCACAGTGGTTCTGCCAAAGTGAAATATCAAATAAACCACATTAGCCAGCTACTTCACTCCTACATATATAAGTCCAAGATTACAGCAGCACTATTCACAACAGCCGAAAGCTGGGAGCAACCCCAGGGGCTATGAATGGATCTGGTTATCAACCAGATGTGATGTAGAAATATAGCAGAGTATTATGCAGCCTGTAAAAAGAAGGAAATGCTGACATGGGCTACAAATGGTTGAATCATGAAGACAATATTGTAGAAAGGTGAGTAAATTAAATTATCTGGTAGGCAGTCAGACAGGGCTGCCCTCTCAAGGCACCAGGCCTCAAGGTGCCAGTCCTCAAGGAGCCAACACAGGGAGGAGCCAACACGGAGAACAATTAAGGCACATTCATTGGTTAGCATTATAAAAAAGAAAAGGGGTACTACTTCCCCTAGAGACAGATAGCAGTATTTATTCAATATGTATCTATTGCACCTGTGATAGCTAATTGTGGAGTCAATTTGAATACAAAGGCCTAACAGATTGGTTCAGCCCAGTTCTGAGTGACCAGATATCTGACTTACTGACATGGAAGCCCCACCCAGGGTGTGGATGGCACCAACCAATGGACAAGTGGCCTGTTTGGAATAAAAAGGGAAAGAAGGAAGTCTTGCTTTCTGCTTCTTCACAGTAGCTCCAGTCTTTGCCATCACCTTTGGACATCCATGTCCAGCCTTCCAGTGAAGACCCTTCAGCCTCCTGATATGGACTCACATGGGAGTCTGCAGTAATCTCCAAACCTTCAACTTTCAACTGGATCCTTTTTTTTCCCGGTACCAGGAATTGAACTCAGGACCTTGCACTTGCCAGGCAGGCACGGCGCCATTGAGCTAAACCCCCCACCCTTAACTGGATCCTTTGGATCTCCAGCATGGAGAAGGACCTTTTGCATTCTTCCACATCAGACCATTTTAAGTCTACCTCGTAAATCCGTATCTATAGTCTGTATAGATCTATAGACCTATAGTCTTCCTCTAGTGAGCCCTAACTGACACAGCACCCCCTATCTGGTTATGTGAGCCTCATAAACTGTAAGGTGGTACACATGGGTCTGCTGGGAAGTCCCAGTATATCCAAGAAACCCCCCAAGTTATGTGACTGAACAATCAGATGACAAAGTAAATAGTCTTTATGATGCCAGCTCCTAAAAGAGCTGGAGACCTTACTGAGAAAGTAAGACTACGAACCTGCGAGCTCAGGGACCCCAGGCAGTGAATTATAATGCCAGCTGAATGGCTCTGTGAGTAAGTTCCAGAAAAATCGGACAGGTAAAGAAACATTGAGGGAGGAAGTCCCGTTCCTTCATTTAGGAAATCCAGGTCCACAGAAATAGGAAGTAGCTGGCTCAGGTGACACAGCCAATATGAGTGACACTGCCCAGACTGGACCTGACTTCTCCTGGCTCAGTCCAACCTGGGGGCTGGGACTGGCTTTTTAGGGGGTGTCATCTCCAGCTACAGGGAGCCCCCACCGTGGTACCAGAATCAGGAGCGCTGGAGCCCCCACCTGGATTGCGCCCACGTCTGATTCAGCCTAGAGCTCCACCCAGATGACAGTCAGGCCAGCCCCAGCTTTGCTGCTCTGCACCGACGCCTTCATAATTCACGTCTTTAGTCAACGACAGCAGCTGTCTCCAGAAGGAAAAGCTGCCCAGATGAGGAGGACTGAATCCTGGCCAAAAGTTTTTCTTTGGAATTCTGCCTTCAACTTTTTTCCCCCCAGTTTAACTGGATGACATCAAATTCCTTTGATACATTTCTTATTACCTTTGAAAATAGCCTACATTGGCTGGGGATTTAGCTCAGTGGTTCCACCGCCTGCCTCGAAAGCCCAAGGTCCCAAGTTCAATCCCCAGTAACAAAAAAAGGAAAAGAAAATAGCCCACATCCATCAGCCTCCTATGAAATGTACATGGCTGTACCCTCAGCTCAATATATCTGCAATGCTCAGATCACTTGAGAGACTTCAGGTTCCTAATAAACTTCAGATTGGAAGCCTAATTTCTTTGTTTCCCCTGCCATGTAACCCTCCGGGGAGACCTCAAGTACTGACTTCCGGTCCAGCTGTCTGCCATGAGGACCAAGTGCAAGCATCAGTCAGGGGAGGCTCCAAGAGGTGACCTCAGGCATCCAGGGCTGCACCCTCCACAAAGACAATGGAAAATGTAACAAGGAGGCGGAACTGTGGGAGAAGAGCTAATAACACTGGCTTTTAGGATCAAATTCGACTTTTCCTGGATGAAAAAGTAGGGCACCTGGCTAAGGAGGAAATAGAGCTATCACCACAGAGTCTATGTGAATGAGCGTTCGGGACTCTGCCCAGGGCCTCGGCCTGCACACAGGCCTATCTGTGGGCCAATGTGTGGTCAAACTCCTTCTCAGCCTCCCTCCTTGGCGTCTCTTCTCCAAGTGCCTCTCCAGGCAGGGTGTGGAGGGAGTGGCAGAGGTCGAGGGACTCAGATGCCTGGGAAGAGACTCAGAGCTGCAAGAAAAGTGCACACCAATAGCCACTGCCTAGCTCATCTTCGTCCCCACCAGTGACACGGAAAGCTTGTGGCCATAATGAATGTAAGCAATGAACCAGAAAATTACCCCTCACATAAGAGCTCTGGACCCACACACTAGAAAAAGGTGTAAACAGCACAGAGGGGCCTGGCCAGGACAGAAGAGCTGGCCCTCTAACATACTGGAGGCACGTGTGGTCTCGTTGAAAATACTCCAATTGTTTTCACATTTCGAATGCTCTCAATTAAAGTTCCCATTAGCACTTGCATGTTTCCAGGGTTTGTATCCAGGCAGGGGAGTGGGGACTATCTTTTACAAGAGACGTTCAGTTTCACAATCTGGGCTCTGCAGCCATCTGCCTCCATCCCAGGTTTAGTCCTCAGCAGGATGAGTACGTGAGCTACTGTGTGTTTCGAGCAGAACGCACCACATCTGGATTCAGTTACACACGTGGCCCACAAAGCTCCACAGAAGAGGTAGACAGTGCAGCCTTTGAAAACCAGATCCTGCTCTGTGGAATGCTGCTGTTGTATCTCCAAGAAGTCTGGGAAGCCACATGTTGGGAAATACAACACCAAACGGAAGTTCTAGAGAGTTCTACAAGTGATGTGGTTAGAAGAAGACAATAATTCAGCATGCATCAGCATGGCCTGATGGTGAGAAGACTTTTTGAAGAAAATTTTCACCTTCCACGCTTTAAAAAGGTCTTCTTTTTCTTTCTTTCTTTTTCTCCCTTCTTTCCTCCCTTCCTTCCTTTCTTTCTCCTCTCTCTCTCTCTCTCTCTCTCTCTCTCTCTCTCTCTCTCGACAGGTTCTCTCACTATGTAGCCCAGGCTGGGCTTGAATTCTTGGCAGTCCTTCTGCCTCAGCCTCCCAAGTGCTGGGATGACAGGTGTGCACCACCATGCCTGACTTGAAAAGCTCATCTTTCTAACAAGATTGAAGAATTCAAATAATAGTTGTAATTTCTCTAGAATAATACATCTTGAGTGATTCCTTAATTCATTTGTTCATTCATCTGTTCCACAAACACATGCTGTACCCATGCACATCAAGCATGCAGCTATTGAGGATCTGGCTACAGGGAAAAGACAACCACCTCTTGCCTGGCGGCCTTCTAGTCTAGTGTCTCGCAGAAGTCTGGTTTAAAGACATCCCACTTAGGGCCCGTGCTCTAGGCTGCTCATGTCCCTTGAAGGGCAGTGACAGGCACTTATTTGAGTCACTCAGCACATCCTCACCATCCTTCCATGCCCTGTACCCCTTGAGTGGTGCCACAATGCTTCTGAGTCTTATTTTTCTTCTACCTCCCTATCAAAGAGAGTAGAGCTACAGCTGACCCCTCTTAGCAGCAACCAAGTGTCTTATCTTGTAGGACTGAAGAACCCAGCTCCTTTGATGTCCCATTTCTGGGTCCAGCCTTTTCTTTCTCAACAGGGTAAGGAGGACCAAGAGTGAATCCTCATTTCAAATAAGTAGAACTTCAGCTTGGTCCCGAGTTTGCTGAACAAATTCAATGGTCAGACCTAGTCTATCCAATCTCTACAAAACATCCCAATAGGATTTGATGAGCCAAAAGAACAAAGGGCAGAATAGTGTTAGTAAATGTAAATGCTGAATACAGGTATAAGCTGCTTAAGATTTGCAAGGAAAGGAAAGCTAGAGGAGCATTTGGTGGACAACACTAACAGTGCCTGGCGCGACTTACTTCTGCAGGTTTTCTTGTCTGGATTCAGGGTAAAGCCTTTCAGGCAGCGGCAAGAGTAGGAGTCACCTGTGTTGGCACATTCGTGCTGGCAACCATGATTAGTGGAGGCGCAGAAGTCTATCTCTGCAGAGAGAACCATCAGAAAAATGTCCAACAAAGCCATGCAACTAGCACATCAAAATGGGATTTTCATCTTCATTTTTCCTAAATGGGTAAAGCCCATGCCTCAAAGACCTATTCCAGGAAGCAATCTCTCAATAGAGCTACTCCCAGGTCTAGAGACATAAGGGCACAAAAAGGAATCTTCTTGACACATGACACAATATCTAAGTAACTAATTTTTTAAAAAATTTTTTGGTACATGTTAGGTGTACAATATAATGACATTCATCATTGGAAATTTGCACCTTTACATAATCTCTCTTGGTTCTTATTTTTTCCCCATTCCCCTGCCCTCCCTTCAACCCCTCCATCCCTCCCTAGTTACAAAGACTTTGTTTCCATTTTTTCATTTTCTCATATTAATTTCATTCCCCTCTTTCCTTTCCCCTACCCCTCCCACTTCCTCTAAGTAACTAATTTGTGAACATGCTCTCCTTATCTTGGTTCATGTAAGAGCCACTCAAATTAAAATTACTGGACTGTGGGCTGGGGAGAGAGTTTAGCTGAGTGTTTTATGAAATGATGCAATTAAAACAATGAAACCTTCTCCAAATCAAACTCTACACCACTCAAGAGCCTCTAACACTGAGCCTAATGGGATGCAAAAGCATCCCAAGAAATATAAGGCCTTAGAGAGAAAGACACAAATATTCCAAGTTCAAAATTCCTTCCTCCTGGGGATTTAGCTCAGTGGCGCCCACTGCACCTGCCTCCCAAGCATAAGGTCCTGAGTTTGATTCTCAGAACCGGAAAAAGAAAAAAGAAAAATAGTTTAAAAAAAACAAAACCAACTCTTTCCTTATTGCATAAATAGGACATTTCATCTCAAGATTCAGTCAGAGATTATAATGTCTGGGGATATTCTAATTTAAACCAAAATATTCAGAAAAAAAAGGTTGCATGGAATTTGTTACAAAGGAATGTTACTTGCATAAGCATTTCTAAATATGGAAAGAGACTGCTCCACTGAAAGGTCTGAACAAGGGCTTTTGCTGAAGTGGAACCTAAAGGCATTGTTTAAAATCGCTGGGAGTAAGTAGTCACTGATGAAATCTCAAAAGACATCTGTTTTGATGAGGACTTTTATTGTTTTAAGGAACATCTAAATTATGTATATAACTTCCATAATGAAGAATTTGATGTAAACGACTTTTCCCAGTCTATATCAAAGGAAACAAACCAACTAAGAGAAGCATACACCATTCTTCAAAGGAAAAACAATGAAAAAAATGCCAATTTCCCACCTTAAAGTCCTGGAAAATTTACACATGTAGGAAAATGGACAGAGTGACATGGGGAATCCATGTGCTCATTTCTCGGCTTCAGAATCTATGGCTGCTCTTCTTCCTCTACACCTTCACCCTATAAAAATCCCGTATCACTGTGGGGCAAATCTCAGACATGATATCATTTTTTCATAAATATCTCATAATACATCTTTAAAAGATAGAGACTCAAAAAATACAACTATAGGGACAGGGATTTAGCTCAGTGGTTCTGCCACCTGCCTTGCAAGTTCAAGGTCCCGAGTTCAATACCCAGTACCAAAAAAACCAAAACAAGACAAAAAACAACTATAATACCATCCTCACATGTAAAGGTATTTAAACAACTTTTTATTTGGAAACTCTTTGAAAACTACACAAAGTTGCAAATAAAAATTATACAAGAGGCCAGGTGTGATAGAGCATGTTTATAATTCCAGCACTCTGGGAGGCTGAGGCAGGAGGACTACAAGTTCAAGTGCAGCCTGGGCAACTCAGTGAGATCCTATTTCAAAATTTAAAAAGGGATGGCGGTATAGTTCAGTGCAAAGGCCCAGGGTTCAGTCCCTAGTACCACACATGCAAACACACAGACACAGAGTATAAGAGCCACTGATAACACTTTTTAAGCCAATTCACCTACTGTTAACATTTTACTCCATTTGACTGACCATTTCCATTTCTGGTCCTTTTCCCTACAATGTAGTCTGTGCTCCCTAAGAAGAGGGCTACTCTCCTACATAGGTAACCACATGATCCCCAAACTTACATTGACGTAGTACTTTTTCTTAATCCATCTTCCATATTCTAATCCTGCCAGCTGATCTAATGTTCTTTATAGTATTTTCTATCTACCAGTACAGGATCCAGTCTAAGGTCAGAGATAGTAGTTTTTACATTTGCTTATGCCACCTTTAATCTAGAACCATCCTGTCCAATGTGGCAATTTAAATTTAAATTGGTTAAAATTAAATCAACAATTCAGTTCCTTAATTGCACTGGTCATATCTGAAGCACTGAAGATAGTTGCACAAGGCTCCTGACTGGTTTTTTTGGAGGCAGGGTCTCACTTGGTAGTCAGCTGGTCTTGAGCCCACTATATAGCCCAGGCTGCCCTTCAGCTCACAGTGATCCTCCTGTCTCAGCCTCCTGAGTGCTGGGATTATAGGCATGAACCACCATGCCTAGCTAATGCTCCTAACTGTTTTATCTACTTGTTTTTAGGTTTCTTTTTTAAAAAATATAATGTGTAAAAAACAAACTACACACATTTATGATGAATAATTTTATGAGCTTTTGTATACTCCCATGAAACGATAACCACAATCAAAGTAATGACTATTACTTGTTGAAGATGGTAACCTTGCCCTATTGAATCGTTTTTGCATCTTTGTTGAAATATTTTCACCACGTACATGTGAGTCTCTTTCTGGATCCTATTCTGTTCATATTTGTACCAATACTTCACTGTCCTTGACTGTTGTGTGTAATTAGTCTCCAAATTAGGAAGTTTAAACAACCCACAGAGTGGGGAAAAAATTTTACCAGGTATTCAGATAAAGGACTACTATCTAGAATATTTAAAGAACTCAAAAAAAGTCAGACCCGGGCCGGGGATTTAGCTCAGTGGTTCCACTGCCTGCCTCACAAGAACAAGGTCCCAAGTTTGGTCCCCAGAAACAAACAAACAAAAAAGCCAGATCCCCCCAAATTTAAAGACTCAATGCAAAAATGGGTATCTGAAATAAAAAGACACTTCTCAGATGAAGAATTAGAAAAGGCAAATAAATTTATGAAAAAATGTTCAACATCACTGGTTATTTGAGAGATGCAGATTAAAACAATGCTGAGATTCCACCTCACCCCAGAAAGAATGGCTGCTATCATGAAATCAACCAATAACATATGCTGGAGGGGCTGTGGGGAAAGAGGAACGCTTCTCCACTGTTGGTGGGAGTGTAGACTGGTGCAACCTCCATGGAAATTAGTGTGGAGATTTCTCAAGAAACTAAAACTAGAAGCTCCATTTGACCCAGCTATACCACTTCTTGGTATCTTCCTGAAAGAATTAAAAGCATCATACCACAGTGATATGTGTACACCCATGTTCATAGCAGCACAGTTTATAATAGCTAAAGCTTGGAAACAGCCCAAATGCCCATCAACTGGTGAGTGGATAAAGATGTGGGGGTATTTTATACAGTGGAGTACTATTCTGCCATAAGGATGAGCTTCAGACATTTATATAGCTAAATGGATGGACCTTGAGACCATACTCTTAAGTGGAATAAATTGGACACACGTGTTTAAATACCACGTTATTTCTCTGGTGTGAGAAACTGAAAGTGGAAATAAGGACTGAAATGTATAACGGATGTTGGGAAATGGGATGAAAGTGTTCAAATGAGAAGGGGAACAAGGGAGGAGAGAGGGAGAAAGGAAGGAAGGGGCAAGAAAAAAAGTGAAAATAGAAGGAAAAATGGAAACAAAGCTTCTCCACATAGGGAGGGGAGGGAGTTTGAGGGCGGAAGGGGATTAAAATAAAATTTATTAAAAATAAAATAAAATTTAAGCTTTAAAAATCAGGAAGTTTAAATTCTCCACATCTGTTCATCTTTTCAAGTTTATTTTACTATTCTATTTCTTTGTATATCCATGTAAATTTTAGAATCAGTTTTTCAAGTTCTAAAAAGAAGGACTGCTAAGATCATTACAGAGATTGCTTTGTATCTATGGTTTGTAAAGGACTGATCTTGAAAAATACTGCCTTCTCTTTTTCTTTCAAATTTGTATTTGTTTTCCAGTGCTTTGGATCAAACTCTGGACCTTGCACTTGAGAGGCAGGCATAGTGCCACTGGCTAAATCACCGGCCTTTGTATTTTTAATAGTGTGGGTCTGCAGGGCACACTGAGCGCTTCGTGTGGGAGCAGCGCAGGCACACAGCACATCCCAATCCTGCCCCAATTCTGTCTCCATCCACTCCCTCCCTGCCCCTTCCTTCCCTCCAGCTCGTGGGCCTTCAATTTACCAAAGATTTCTCTGCCCCCTATTTTCTATCTTTTAGAAGATCTTCTGGTCCATGAACATGGTAAATCTGTTTCATTCAGTCTTTTTAAATTTCCCTTAGAAATAAATGCTTTCCAGTTTTCAGTGTACCAGCCTTTCACATTCGGTGTCAAGTTTGTCCATAGGCGTTACATATTTTTTGCTATTGGAAAGGTATTATTTAACTTCAAATTTTGATTGTCTATTGAAAGTATGTAAAATAGTTATTTTAGGCCTGGGGATTTAGCTCAGTGGTTCCAGTGCCTTCCTCGCAAGTGCAAGGTCGCAAGTTCAATCCCCGATACCAAAAAAAAAAAAAAAAAGATAGTTATTTTATATCATCTTGTATTCAACAACCTTGTTAAATTTACTTAATAGTTTCAGTAGCTTTTTTGCAGATGCCATTAGATTTTATATGTGACAATGTTATTGGATAATAAAGATGGTTTTATATTGTTCTTTCTATTCTATGCACTCTTTTATTTTCTCTTCCTTCTTGCACTGGCTAGAACCTCTAGCACAACATTAAATAGAAATAGTGAAAGCAGACTTCTCTCTTGTTCCTGATCTCATAAAGAATTCAATCTCTCATTAAGAATAAAGTCATCTCCCCGGCCCAGAGGAAGGGGCTTCTGAGCCAACATTCCACT